TTAATTAATTGTTATCCTTATGTTGTAAGCCGCCTAGAGTGGTTGAAATGACTAGACAGGCGGGGTATAAATACAATAAATAAATAAATAAATAAATAAATAAATGTTCCTTGGAACAATGTCAAAAATGTTACGGATGATTGAGTTCGTTGGAGAACATTTGCTGCCCAATATGCTCTGCACAGGACCTAATGATGATGATGCCCATGTCTCTTTTGCGATCCTTTGTAATGTTCAGTACCAAGTAAATACCATGCCCACAGAAAGCTATTTTTCGCACATGTGGTGGCTTTCATATTTGAATGTTTAAAAAAACAGTTCAGGAGGATGATTTTGGGTTATATGCACAATATCAAAAGAAAAAGATTAATACAGTTTCTTTGGGTTAAATGGACTTTCCAGCTGGAATTCTACCAACACGAGACTATGGAAACTCCTGTAGTCCTTTTGAGAATCTGTCACAAGACACAAATGGGATAAATGAATATATATTAAATAGGCCCAAATCCTCTTGGCTAGTTATACTGGCATGACACAAATAGCACAGCTTTTGGAAATGAATGTGCTGTAAGAAATCACCACAGACACGATCTGCTGCATATTGAGTTATGTGACTCAGGACACAATTTACAAAATCCTATTTCACATGTCATAGCATAAAGTTATGCCAGTGGACGTTGATGGGGAGTTATGCCCTGACATTCCATATGTCTGATTGTGCAACTAGTTGCTCAACTGTGCTCACAGAACTGCTACCTGGTTATAACTTCTGACCTGGTTCAAATTTTGCAATGGTTTGTGTAGCTTTGGGTTATACAAGGGTAGCTGTGCAACAGAGTGATTAGTCAGACAGGTACATTCATGCAAGACTATAGTCTCCAGTATCCTTTTGTGTAGCTCTGTTTGTACAATCGGAGTGGCATCCTTGACTACAGCAGATTTCCCCCAATTAAAGAGTTCTTTTGATTTCAGGGTGTGCATGATTTTGTATCATTGTACACAAGCTGTACAGTTTCCTAAATTTGAAACTCTTCAATTAGTAGCAATCCGCTGTGACTGGTGACCTCAAGTGGACTGGGATACTGGCCAGTAGTTGTCATCTGCTATATAAAAAGAAATATTGCTACTGCTCAGCCTTAACCACTAACCTCCTCTCCTTTTCCCTAAATAATGTATCTGATGAGATGGTCACCTTCAAAGATAAAAAATGAACTATTACAACAATAAACTTACAAATCCATTTCAGTAATGAGACCCACCTATTTATTCTTGCCAGTTCATCAAACTTTTGCTGCTAAGACTGATTCTGATTAAACTTTCTGACTTTCTTTTAGGGTTCCTGACAAACTCTGCATCCTTTCAAGGCTCCTGCAAAGGATTATGCATGCTCCCATTCCTAGATATTTCCATTTTAATGGCCCATTTCCGATGCATAATATGGGTCTAATTTTTGCATCCTTTTTCCAACTGCAATTTAACAATTTTTCCACTGCACATTTTATGTCTAACCAAATGCTAAAATATACCTTGACATTCATCTTGACCTGATAAACTGGAATAAGTGGTTTTAAAATGTGGTTTAAAAGAATGCTATGAGAGGTTTGCTCTGTGGTATTCAAAGAAACAAATCTTGCTGCTGGAAGAAATCAAGAAACAAATTTGGGTACTAATATTCAAATATGAGGACTCATTGAACATTATGATATTTGGAATTTCATTATGTTAGACCCATTACAGGACTGGATAAATCCCAATCCAGAATTAAGATTGCTGGAAGAAATATCAACAACCTCTGATATGCAGATGATACCACTCTGATGGCAGAAAGTGAGGAGGAATTAAAGAACATCTTAATGAGGGTGAAAGAGGGGAGTGCAAAAAATGGTCTGAAGCTCAACATCAAAAAAACTAAGATCATGGCCACTGGACCCATCACCTCCTGGGAAATAGAAGGGGGAGATATGGAGGCAGTGACAGGTTTTACTTTCTTGGGCTCCATGATCACTGCAGATGGTGACAGCAGCTACGAAATTAAAGGACGTCTGCTTCTTGGGAGGAAAGTGATAACAAACCTAGACAGCATCTTAAAAAGCAGAGACATCGCTTTGCCGACAAAGGTCCACATAGCCAAAGCTATGGTTTTTCCAGTAGTGATGGATGGAAGTGAGAGCTGGACATCAAGTAGGCTGACCTCCAAAGAATGGATGCTTTTGAATCATGGTGCTGGAGGAGACTTTTGAGAGTCCCCTGGACTACAAGGAGAACAAACCTATCCATTCTGAAGGAACTCAGCCCTGAGTGCTCACTGGAAGGACAGAACCTGAAGCTGAGGCTCCAATACATTGGTCATCTCAAGAGAAGAGAAGACTCCCTGGAAAAGACCCTGATGTTGGGAAAGTGTGAAGGCAAGAGGAGAAGGGGATGACAGAGGACGAGATGGTTGGACAGTGTCACCGAAGCTACCAACATGAATTTGAACAATTCCAGGAGGCAGTGGAAGACAGGAGGGCCTGTCGTGCTCCGGTCCATCGGGTCACGAAGAGTCGGACACAACTTAAGGACTAAACAACAACAACAAGACCCATTACATAGTCCTCTATTAATTTTTTTCATTACGTAAATATATACGTAAATATATTTGTAATTAATGGCCTATGGGTTTGCCAAGCTGGTTGGATAACTCAACAGTTTAGGTATCTGGCTGTGGAAACAGAGTTTGGGAAATCTGATTCCCAACTGTACCTCCTGGGAAAAGAGCCAGGCTGTGTGGCCTTGGGTAAGCTGCGCAATCCCAGGGCACCCTCAGAAACAGGAAATGGGAAACCGCTTCCGAGTACTGTACTCTCTACCTGAAAAACCCTGAAAAGGGTAGCCGTAGATCAGAATTGACTTGACAGGACACGATGATGTCGATGAGTTTGCCTCCATCTTCATCCCCATGAGGTTAAATCCAAAGAAAAGAAAGAGATGAAAGTTCTGATCTTCTAGGTTGTTACTTCCCCTTCCTTCCCTCATCTTTAATTTATACACCACTCTGGTTGGACTTCCATTATGAGAATGTGCAATGTTAAGATGTTCATAGTTACTTCAATAGAGGCACTTTCAAAGTACTCTTTATGTATTGAAAGACATCTTTATTTCTTAAGCATAAGGCAAATAAAATACAGAAAACCAAGTAAAAACATCGCTTTTATAGTAATACAAAAATGTTAAGTTTGACAACTATCTTTTGGTCAGCTTTTTAAATTTCTCATACCTTCATACCTTTAAATAATTCACCATTAAGCAGATTGTTCACAGCCACAACTTCCATAGTATTACAGTAAGGGTATAACCCTAATCTCTTGATGCTGATGACCGGAGTGGGAGAGGATGCCATACTGGTACCTCTGCCAGCCTTCACTTTTAGAAAGCACTACCTTTGTATGGAGGAAGGAGGAGGTTTCTTCTAGCAGTCCCCAGCTGCATTTTGGAGGAAAACTACCACCTGCATTCACCTATTGTCAGCAGCAAGTAGAAAGCTCTGAAGCCAAGACTTTCATGCGCTGGTTTGTGCCACCTTGGAAGCTGCTAGATCCTGTGCTGCTCTTCTCTCCCTGATTTGGATGCCCTCAGCTATGCCAGCCTGCAGTTGGCAAAAGAAAATTCTGTTTTTATTTCAACAAATGAAATGGAAAACTTTCTGCTTGGTTAATAAGGGTGAGGCGGGGGCCCCTCACACTTTCTGCATCAATCCACACAGGACAGTTTACAGATGAGATGGTAGAGCTACCTACTCCCTTCCAGCCCTATTCTAGATTAATCTGTCTGATTTGGAGGTTTTCTATGTCCACCATTAGGGTTGGCAGGAAGAAGTATATAATACAGTCTCAAACAGCTGGCATTTTTCACTGCAAATGAGGAAATGTCTTTGTTGTAAGAGCAGGCACTGAGAACTTCCTCATCATAACATAAGACATTTTGAAAACAATTCCAACCTCTGCACACATTCTACTTCTGTATTGTCTTGACAGCCTTGTTTCCTGGTAAGTCAGCAAGCTTGAAATCCTGGATGGGCATGATTCTGCAAATGTATACCTGGAACTTTGAAACAAAAGTTCCACATGAAGTCAAGTTTCTTGTTACTACAACACATGCAAACTGTTGCAGTCGTTAAATGAAATATGCAGCTCCAGGAAACAAGGGCGGGGGAAAAAAAGAAGGTAAGAAAGAGAGAAAAAAGTCTGCAATAAATAATGTTGATAATTCGGATTTAACCAGAAGGCAGCTACAAAGTCAAGGCAATCCAACTTTATACCATACACAGTCACACACAGGCATCCTTTAGTCTCGAGAGACTATGGTAACATGCTCTGAATCGAGGAGTGTCCTCGCCAGAGCACACAGTAACATATCATGATTTAGGAGGTTATGGATGGCCATTATTGATAACATACCTAAGCATTCCTTGTACCAGTTGTATTTATAAATAGGAGAGGCAAGTGGTCTTTTTTGTTCTGTCTGAAATGAACTGTAACTTTATATTAACTTCAGCAGACCTGATTTTGGTATGTACTGCTTGCTGCTTGTGACTTTCAGCAACCCTAATAGGATTTTGAAGGTGCAGGAGATGATCGAGTGGTTTGCCACTGCCACCCCCGGCTCCACTGAATTTTCATGGCTGAGTGGTGATCTGAATGCAGATCTGCGGAGTCCTTTTCTGACACTATGCCACACTACCTCTCATCGGCATGGGCGTGTGCTCATAATTACTGAAGAATGCAAAACCAAATAATAACTGTACCACGCTTGCCTTTGAAATCACATTCCAAGGCTATTTAGGCTTGTGCAGTGCTTCAATGATAAGGTTTCCTGAGCTGTGATATAGATGTTGGTCAGTAGATGCACAGGGACATTTATTTTGTCTGAGGTATTTAACACCTGCTAAGATCTAAAAAACAAGATGCACTTACTTTTATATTAACACATTCTTTCTTAAAAATTGTTTTTAAAAATTCTTCATGTAAAAAAGAGATCTGCATAGTCATATAGTAATAGCTGTCTATAATGGCAGGATCTTTGCTTTTCCAGCAGCATGTAGTGCCATCATACATAGCAATCCTGCTATAGATTCTGCACACACAAAAAGGCACGGCTGTTCCTAGTTATCACAGCACAACTACTTTCTAAATCAGAATATTCAAAGGGTTTATAAGTCTAAATTGTGCAAAAATGTATCAGTGCAGCACATTCCTTCCTGAGTCTGAAAATAAATTAATAAAATCTGAAATTAAACTAACATTTTAAAAAAATATATTCCTTCAAGCTTTGGGCGTATGTTTTAATTATTATGACTCTAGTCTTTGATAACATCAGGTCTCATTATCAAACGATAAAAATGTAATTTCCACAGGAAGTAAATGAACAATGCAGTTCAATCCATCTATACTGACAATTAGGAGGTATAGCTGAAATTAACTGATGCATGCAAAAAAAGAAAAAAACAACAACAACTCAAAAGCTAGCTCAGCACAGATTCTGGATGTTATCCAGTGATTCCCCATTACTGTGGTAATACTCAGAATAATGACAGATTGTGCAGGAACAGAGTCTATAAAACCAGGTACTGTAAAGGCATGCACACCAAAATGTATACAAGAAATATGTTGCACCTTTGAAACAATACAATTTTCATATGCCGAACACATTTCTAAGCTTGGACGAACTTCCATTTGGTACTAAATTAGTTGTTAGCAAAGGCACTAGCAATCAGAATCTAAATAAAGAGTCTTTTGATTTTGAAAAAATAAAATGAAATAAAAGCTTTCTTTTAATGTGAAGCATAACCAGGACTCCACAACCTGGTGGGAGAGCTGCTTTCACTGCTTGAAGATTTAGGACTGAAGGAACTTACAGATGTAACAGGAAATCCTACATCTGTTAAAAAAAAAGAAATGAAAGAATAGTATGATTATTCGTACCTATGATGTATTTCAGTAATGTTTCCTGTTTTTGTTTCGGGTCCTTGTTAAGGCTCTTTCCAAGGCTGTGGTGGCTTGTTTGAGTACTTAAATAAAAGGTGCAGACACAGAGAAAGCAGTCCCTTCTGCCTCAGAGACATTTATCAAGCACCAACCCTGATTCTTCTGTAGTTAACATGCTAACTTAGCACATTGTTTAGGGAGGCTGATTATGATCCTAATCCACCACAGATGGCAAACTGGCAGCATCAGCATCAATGCAATATTGGCAGTGTCTGTGTAACAGGGTGTGTGAGAATGTGGGTGGAGGGTTGATGAAGAGAGCCCTCAGCATCTTAAAGGAGAGTGAGATGTTATCTGTCTCTTCGGACTCACGGGTTGTTTTCTATCTACGGCAGAGGTTGCCCACCTTGGGTCCCCAAACGTTCTTGGACTACACAGTTAGTGGTGAAGGCTTCCGGGAGTTGTCGTCCAAGAATATCTGGGTTACCCAAAGTTGGAATCACTGATCTAGTGGATTTTCAAAAGGGGTGAAGGGGAAGTCCTGTGATTGCTAGATAGTTTCAGAATGGATTCTGCCAGCTCCAGCAACAGTAAAATTCCAGCAGGGAATGATCAAGTATTCACAACTGTTCCAGGTTCTCCTGAAAATCTCTTTCCTCCTCGTGGTTACCATTCTGACATATATAAGTGAGATGACAATTGTAAATAAATCAGAATATGAAATAACTTTTTTTTTACATAGGAGGAAACTCACTTCAGCCAATTATTTTGCTTAACTGTGTTCTGTAAAGGAAACACAGGGAACCTTCAATTTCTTGGCCAGTTGGAGATGAAATGTTAAGAAAACTAGTGGCAATTCAAACTCTTGTCTCAACATTCTGGAAGACATCATATCTCAATGAGAATCAGTGCACACTTTCACAATACAGATTCAGTAAACAGCACATTTTTCAGAACTGGAACTTCCAAAGACTGATCCGGGAAAATGAAGGACATGTTAGCTTGACTCCAACTTATTATCTAAACTACAGTAGAGTCATTGCATGAGTGAGACTTACATAAATGTTTGTTTGCCATTTCATTTTCAATTTGTTACTTAGACCTTGCCTTTCTCCCAAAAATCCCAAGATGGCTAACCATACAGCAACTGATTCAGCAGGTCTACCAAATGGTCTTAGGCCATTCTCACATGCTTATTTGAAAGCACAGAATTAATTTACCAAAGCCTAAGGGTGAGTATACAAGGAGTTGAACAATTCCTGGATCAGATCTCAGCCAGATCTGGGCATCCTGTTTGTCTTTAAATGCAGAGACACAGAATTGAGGCAAACCATGGCTGATCCAACCCTATCCTCTCCTGGTGTTTTCCTGTGGTCTTGCCACTCCCATATTGCAACAGGGGCAACCGTGGATTCCTGCCCAACACTGGCCAGTTGGGAGAAAATCAGGGAAAAAGGATGGGTGGTGTTGGTAAGAATGGAATGTGTGACTTTGACTACCTTGTTGGCCACTTTTATTTGTCAGCCGTTTTTCTGAGTTGTATCTTAGCAACCCAAAACAGATGACAATTTGACATTAACTATCAATGTAGGCACTTTCTATGTGTATGTGTGGGGGCGACTGTGAATCAGTTTTTAACTACAGAGATTATGCAGTGATTCACTATGTGAAAAGGAATTGAGAAAATAGCATGACGTAAATGACCTGCTGTACATATTTTCACTCTTACACATCTTTTCTTTGTGGAAAATTATGTGTATTGTCATTGTCCTCTGTTTTTATGCACTATTAAAGAAAAGAAAGGAAAAGAATTAAAATATTTGTTCTAGGGCTCATTAGGCATTTACTGACTTTGTATGAAAGTTGCACCATTAACATGACAGAATTTGATTTATAAATGCATCTCATTGTTTTTCCCACTTTATAATATTATTGTTACTATCATTTCCACTCCTATGAAACCAGTGAAGCAATTAAATAAAAAGACTTTACATCGAGTAATATTTGATACATTTTTATGTCCTACAAAATAGTTATGCCATTTACCTCATGGCATTTTCTGTGAGTGAAACACTTGCAGTACTATTCACTTAGAATATGTACTGTATGCTGAAATACTATTTCTTTATTATGCATGCAGAAAGCAAACTACATAACATTCAGTCACTTCTAGCTGGCCATTAACAAGTTGCTGCTAGGATTCTTAGGAGGCATGCATTGTGTGGTGTGCATTTGAGAATACTATCAGGGATTCATTAATTAGGTAGAAGCGACTGAATGTTCTGCTGTTTGCCTCCCATGTGTTAACAAAGTAACAGGAGTTCAGCCATAAGATAATTCCCCCCCCCACTTTTTAACTGATTAGCATCTGCTTACGTTGTCTATGCTGAGGACTTGTCCTTGGGATAAAAGCTGGATGAGTTTGTTGTTCTTTCGGTGAGAACACAGCATAGTGCACTGAAAGACATTACAGAATAAATGATAACATTGAATTTCATTGAATATCACAGCAGAAAATGTTGGAGAATCTTGGGATGAACACTTTATGTTCTTACCTATGATCATAACAGCCATTCCTGCCAAAAGGGCAAACAGTGTGAAAAACATGGCTTGATATGAATCAAGGAAGTGCTGGAATGAGCTTGAACCATCTGAGGAACAGATTGAAAAGAATGAATAATGGTATCGGTGATTAAAAACTAACCTAGGTTAGCTTTAAAAGTTGGATCTTTCCAATATGACTTGTTACTTTTTGTTGTGAACATTTATGGGAACTATGTACATATGTATGACACCATCATGGCTGCATTTGGTTATAGCAGAAAACTCCAAAACAATTGTCAAAATATGATCACCAATAAGAGATAAAAATGTATTTCAACATTAACACAAATTGACTTCTAAAGACTCCAAACACCAGTCTTCCTTTAAAAAATTCTATTATCCTAATAATTTAGTTACCAATTTCTCTGAAGTATTATTGATGAATATTATCATTTGAGTTTCTTATGAAATCTATGGTGGCTGAAGAATTAAATTCCCACCTATGCATGGATGCAAGCACACTTATGTCTATTTTGGTTCTTTCATAAATCACAGTGAAAAAATGTAAGGTTTTTAGCTCCTTTTAGGAGCTGTGGAAATGAGAGGTTCCAGAAGCTATCCATGATGCTGGTCTTCTGAGACTTCCCAGACTGAGAGTGAGAGGGAAAAAGTCTTTATGCAGCAGAATCTCTATGCTGAAAATGCTACACGCACACATTTAAGAATGATTTAGCTTCCTAGAGAAAAGTTAAGCAAGTCCCACCCTCAGGATATCAAAATCTGTATTAATAACTTTGGTATTAACAAAATGAGGCTTACTCCAATATAAGACAAGAAAGAGAAACTTACATCTCACTGAAGGACTTCTATCTGATACATACATCATTGTCACTGGAATAGCAATGGATTGGTCAGTCGCTGTGCTGGTTATAGTAAGTATGGTAGATAAAGACCCTCTGCTTGCAAGTCTTGGGTCTGATAAGCTGACAGTATATGTCACATAACTTGGCAACCCATAGGATCTGTCCTTTTCCCAGGCCACCACCAAAGGTGACCCAGATTTCACCTTTAAATGTAAAGTATTAGTTACCAAAAGCATCCACTTTTTCCCCCTTTTGGCAAATACAGAATAGTGCCCAAGGAAAAAACTATACTGAAGGCCTTGTCCCGGCTTCCTGTCTGACAGATTTATTCTGTCATTTCAATATAAATTCCCTTTCCTGCTTTAATGCCGTTCCTCCTCCACAAAGAATCTGTTCCATGATGAGAGAGTGCATTCTTAGGGATGTTTTCCAACCACTTGAGACAACATAACATGGCAAACTAGACACATCGGCCTTTTCCTTAGGATGACTTGATTGTGTAATCTATGTATTTTTTTGTATGTGTGTTTTTAAATGTACTTTATTATATTTTATTTTATTGTAATTATGCGTTTTACTCGTGCTTTGGTTTGCTGTGATCAACATCTACACTGGAATACCATGTCTGTCATTATTTTCTTTCTCTGTACCTATTTCTAAAGTTTTAGTGCAGTGTCATAAACCATGGTTTTGTCTCATTGTTTTGTCCCATAACAACTGCAGTTTTCTATGGTGCAACTATAGGCATAAAAGATGTATTCCAGTGTGTCAGCTTTCAGGAATTACCATTTACTTCTTCAGAAATGTGGGCTCCTATCCTGTTGCCTAAGTGCAGAACAGATGGAATCTCATGCAAGTGTTTCCCTAGCCTGGCAGGCACTCAATTGCATGACTGATAATTGCAATCAGTGTTACAACAGGCACATGATGGGCCTGGAGTGGAGGGGATGCTTATGCAATTTCCCTTTCTATTTTGTCCGCAGGCAACAGGACAATGGGCATTGACTGCAATATTTACACTTAGGTTTTTATGCACAGTGTACCTGGTTGTGGATGTGTGTGACACAGAAAACAATAATCTTTTATTAATGTTGGTAATAGGTTTTCAATGAATTGATTACATAAACATTGTGGCAACAGGTAAATGATTAGCTAAAGCTAAATATCTGTAAACTAATACGTAACTATTTTGCTTTTGTCTTTGAAGTGCTGAAGCAATGTGTTCTTCTTTCACCAGCATTAGCTATGTTTAAACCAGTGTCTGTGAAAAAGAAAACATGTTTATGGCTATACACAACACTGTTGAGAAAATCAGAAAACATTGCCTTTATTTAACCCTGTACTTATAGACTGGGATTTATGAATACATCCCAATTCAGTTGTCATCCTTTCAAATCCCCACTGATGATGAATTTCATTTTTTTCCTCCAATGGTCTCTTCTCAGGTCTGTAACAGAGTATCCTGGGTGGTTAAGGTATCCTAATGCTGGCCTTTTTTCCTGTTGCTATTTTTGATATCACATTTGTGTCCATCTATTCTCTTGCGCAGATACCGTTCTGTCTGTTGGATGTAGAATGCACGGGGGAACTGCTAGCAGAGTTGGGCAGGTACCATGTTAGAAGAGGAAGATGTAAATGAGTCCCTAGTGTTCACTCAGGTGACACTGTTAAACCCTGAAATGGCACTGCCACAGTACGTACAGGTTTGGAGGCAGCATCTATGTTCATGGTAGGGTGATGTCCTTGACTCTACGTCCACGTTGTATGCTCTGATGCGGGCAAGAGAATGATTATGTTTGCAAGAAAGTTATCTGTAAGGCTTGTCACCCTAAGCATCGGGACAGGGGATTATCATTATTCAGAATGCTGCTCTTATGGCTTGGTGGCTTTTGTGAGTGGTTTCAGTTGAGAGTGGTGTTACTGCTAAAATGCAGCTTAGGTAGGACAGTGAAAAAACAATTATAGTATGACTTTCCCCCCCAAATTTATGAAATAGGTATCTGAAATAGATAACACATACCCGAATATTTGTTTCCTCCAATAACATCTTGAATATCTACTTCATACCCATGAGTATGTTCACATAAAGCTGAAATTTAATTAATCTGATTTCTAATTTTATTAGATTGCTAATACAATTAACTCAAGGCCTATTTGCAATAGTTGGTCTGAAGTCAACCCTATTATTTGAAATTTAAACAGCAATAGTGTGAAACATCTATAGAGGCTGCTGCAGTGTATTTTACTAAAGCCTAATACCATCTAACCAATGATTACTGTATTTTGCCCTAATTTCAGTAACCTCTCTAGTGAATAAAACACATTACAAAGTGCTTGCAATTTTAGTTTAACTTTACATTAAGAGCCTGGCAATATGACTAAGACAACCCACCCCCAACTGCAGCCCAGGCTTCCAGCCCTATTAGGCTGGCATGCCTAGGATCCTCGCTACTAGCTAGCTCAAGACTGCCAAGAGTGAGCACTTGTCATGACTTACTTCAAGATTTTCAAGAATTTCAATGGCTCCAAAGATCTTCACGTCAGAACTTGTGTAATGGTTAGTCAGGACGATTTCAGTCTGATTAGCATAAAATCCTGGATTAAATGGCACTTCGGCACTGATCTCCTCTGTGGAGAAATGGCTGCCCTGGATGGATGCTCTTACGATGACAGACATTTTGCTCATGCTTAGCTGCTTTAGATGCTTCTCAGTCAGCCTATGTGCTGTGATGGAACAAGTGTAATGTCCTAAAAAAAGAGAGAGAGCCCAATCTGAATATTAGCAGCTTCTGCCTCCTCCTCTCATTTTCTAGGATGTGTTCCTGTTGGATGTTCTCTGCTCCAGTCCTCTGTGTGCTTGCTCAGAAATGAGTCCAATTAATGTTGGTACAAAAGCCCCAGCGTGAGAATGTCATGATCAATAACATATTTAGAGTTGTCAGAAGCCCTAGGAAACAGTGCTCTGTGCTTTTAAATGCAAACTGCTTCAGGGGAAGGACTCTTCTGGGTGAAACTCCTCTCCACTATTTTAAGCACTGAGACATGAGCATGTTTGAAGATATTAAAAATCAAACTTGCTATCACCTGCTGTGCTGTCTCCATTTAGCACCATGAATCTAGCCAACCTTCATCATCATCATTAAGCTAACCTGGCACATTTATATCCCCAGCTTGCTCATACCACTATATTACTTATTGACTGGATTATTACTTTTGCTTCTTTGACTCGTTACTTAGCGCTGTGTTAACAGGGCAAATTACAAAACCCCTGCATTGCAGACTGGAGAGCTGTTAGCGAAACTGTCATGCACCTAAAGGCCTAAATCACTTTTCACAAAACAAAACAGCAGAGACACATCCAAAACCAATAGGCACTTGCATGGTAACAGTTAGGAGCACTGATAAGACATTTCTGGAAAGAACAGAAGCCTGAACATAAAACTGAATTTGTGCTTAGTTGGGCTTCTTTTCTTGAAGAGGGTGAATAAACTGAAACTTAATCCGGACAAGATAGAAGTGGTCTTTGTCTGTTGATCACGGAATAGGGATACAGCCTGCGCTGGATGGTGTGACATTACCTTTGAAAACACAGGTGCACAGCTGGGGTGGGGTGGGGTACCTGGATTTGTCTCTGAGTCAGATTTTGGTGTTGGCCAGGAGTGCATCTGCACAATTAAAACCAGTGCTCCAGCTGCTCCCAATCCATGATCAGGCCATAGTGATACCTGCCCTAGTTACATCACGGCTGGACTAAAACGCAGTACCTTGGGCTGCTTATGGAAAGTGGCAGTGGGTCCAAAACGCAGCAGCCAGATTGTGAACTGGGGCTGGTTCACATAAACCCCCCACTGGCTGCTGATCCACTTCTGGGCACAATTCAAAGGACCTATAAAGCCCTAAAGGGCCTGGGTCCAAGGCATCTCAAGGGCCGTCTCTTCCCTTAGGAGCCTGCTTTAGTGTTAAGATCACCAGGAGAAGCCCTTGGTCCCCTTGGTGCCAAGGGGGCATCTAGTGGGGATGCGGGCAAAGGCCTTCTCTGTGGCTGCTCCCAAACTTTGGAGCTCCCTATCACAAAAGGCTAACCTCATCTTTGCCATCCTTCCACAAGCAGAAAAAGCCTTGAGGCAGGCTTTCCCTGAGTGACTGATTGCTTCTGTGGGGTTATTAAATGGATTGGTGGGCCTCACTGCTTTGAATGTTTTTGGTGTTGTTTTTGTTTACTATGTTGTATTTGTATACTGACAGTTTTTAGGTTTAAATGTTTTCTTTTAATGATGTAAGCTGCCTTGGGGCTTTTTAAAGGAGAAAGTCAAGGTAAAATATTTTTAAAAAAACATACAAACAAATAAATATGTATCTGTATTCCAGTCATTTAATCACATAGATTTCCTAATCACTGTGGCCACTACAATTGTCATAGCTGAGAAAGTGAGAGAATCTTATGTAGTATTTACTACAAAGGCCTGCAGACCACATAATTTGACACCCCTTTGCAGGATTTTCCTGACTAGATTTGAATTGATAAAGAAGTCCAGTATGCACAGCATACAGGTCCTGACAACAAAAGAGACAGTGGAAAAGAGTATGAAATCTCTGCTGAAACCTCTGACACTTTCTTTAAAGCTACATTACATCAGACTAAACAAGCAAGGAAGCAAACAAATATATACAGTGGTGCCTTGCTTAACGATTACCTTGTTAAATGACAAATTCACTTGACAATGAGGTTTTTGCGATTGCTTTTGCGATAGCAAATGTTTTAATGGGTAAAATTTGCTTAACGATGATCAGTTCCCTGCTTCGGGAACTGATTTTTCGCTTATCAAAAACAGCTGATTGGCGGCTCTCAAAATGGCCACCCGCTGTGCAAAATGGCTCCCCCCTGTTTTTAGGACGGATTTTTCGCAAGAGAGGCACCGGAAAATGGCCGCCCTATGGAGGATTTTCGCTGGACGAACAGGCATTTAGCCCACTGGAACGCATTGAGTGGATTTCAATGCTTTTCAATGAGTTTTTTCCCTGCTTGATGACAATTTCGCTCTACAGCGATTTTGCTGGAACAGATTAATGTCATTAAGCAAGGCACCACTGTATACTGTACATATGTGCATGGGAACTGTTGGAAGGTGAGAAAAGACCAAAAACGAAGGTAATGACCACTAAGCAGAGGAGAAGCATGAGAAGCCAGGCCTGGGCTGAGTGAGGAAGGAGCTGAAGATATTCATGAAACATGCAAAGCCTTCTTAGCCATCCACTGCCTCACCTGGGTGACAGAACAGAACATTCTCTTCTTCCTGGATCATGTTTTCATGCAGACTAATAAAAAAGGAGAGCACCAATGGCATTCATAAGGAGCATCTTAAAGTACTAAGAAGCATAGGTTACATCTCCTCCAGGGTGAATCTACTGGGCAGAAAGCCACTGGGAACTATATATCCTGTGTGTTCAGAGGCACTTGTTGACATAGGCAATTTGGTCCTTTAAGCCAAAATGTACATGGCCACTGCCTGTACTATGTTTAGAAATGCAGGTTTTAGGGGGAAAAAATTTACAGCAGGAAGTTCCCCTGTGCCTTATCAATCAGGAGATAGACCTTGACCATGTAAAGTCTGACACATGAAAGCCATGAAGAAAGAGGGGGAAAAAAACCAGGAAGAAGGGAAAGAGTAGAAATAATGTGTGTTCAGGTTATGTAGGAGCCATATGGGTAGGGGACAAGAACCAAGAGGTTGTTCCAAAGGCTTAAGAGAAATAATGATGTTGAGAAGGGATCTGAAGGACGTGTATATGCCATTCTATATGGCTTGCCTTTACTAACATAAAATATTCATAACTATGAATCTATCTACCACCGCTATAAAAAAACAGGAAAAGACAACAGAGTTTGTACCATAAAATGGCCAGTCATAAATTCCAAACCACTGCCTGAAGAAGGGACTGAAGCCACACTCTTTTCCCACAAGCTTCTTGCAGATGGCAGGTATCTCCATCTAAGAAGCTACACCTGGCCCCCAACAGTGGCCATGAAACTTTTGGGACTTTAATATAAACATATAATTTGGGAGATACATGTGAGAACTTGGTGCACAGCCTGAGGAAGATGAAGTATTATCGAAAGCTTGCTTATTTTTTTTGTTTTCTGTTTTAGTTTCTTAATGGTCCAATAAAGGTAGCACCTGTTCTTGCAGCTAGAAAATAGTTTAGGTATTAATTTGAAATTATGAGTCAAAATCCAATGGTGTGCTTCTGTTAGATCCCATGCCTTCCATCAACAGAAATAATGCATTCTGCCTAATTCATTCCTCTTTGCACTTTAAACCTGCTAAAGAGGGCTGTGAAATCCTTTTGAGCAGGGTTTTGTTTCTGGCACCATGCCCGGCTGCAGCAGGAGAGAACGGAAAAGGAAGTCTCCATCCTGCTGGCGTCAAATATCAAAACGCAACACCAGATCTTGGATCATGACAGTAGCACTCTAATGGTCTCGTTTCCCTGCACCCTCCATAACATTTCCAGGCTATTGCCATTAGAAATCATGGTCGTGATCTTGGTCCAAGTGGTGCTTGCGCCTTACCTGACGCTCCATCAAACTGAGGTTCTGCAGTAAAAATGTCAGAGGCTGGAAAATCAAAGGCACTGTTGCTGAAATGGAGTTGGCAACTGAGGCTAGACTGGGGTTGCATCTTCTCAATTGCTTCAATCTGGGAAGAAGAACATTCTCCTAAGGAAAAGTGGGTTAAAAGGTTGAGATACCATAAAAAAATCAGTCCAAGAATTAGCTACGGGAAAAAACTTCCCATCAAATTTTGAGATTTTAAACATTTTAAAAATTAGAGTGGTTGATTAAAGCAGTGAGACTTAACACAATTTTTCCCCATGAAAGATCTGAAAGTCTTTAACACTGAAAGCTTTACAGCAGTGATTATTGAGAGTGAATGAGGTATAAAGTGTTGTCAGGTGACAGGTCATACTGAGCTGCATGTGATTTCATTTCATTTAAACTTTGGATCAAGGCCTTGTAACCCAGTAAGCCTGGCTTATTGTGGGAGTCTCACTAATGTGTTTTCCTGAGGTTGTCAAGAAGATAAATTGTGTCATTTATTACTGAATTGAAATGGGACATTAGTTGCCTTGGAAATGTATACAATACGTCAGGAACTGCTGAGTGCTCTCCACTGCATTGATAAAATAGACTTGGTTATAAATCATTAAATACTTGTGCCACAGAAACACTATTACTGATGGAACAATTTGAAACACTCTTCTTTATCATTTAAAGATATATGAATTTTCAGACAAAATCAACTTAAGCTATTATAAAATGATGACAAGAAGTGAATTGGGGAATGACATGTCTGACCAGTTTATATCTTCACCCAGCTGGCAACTGCCCCTCTGTAGTCAAAAGAACAGGTGATCTCCAGTAATCATTTAAAGTCAATACTAAACAAGCACACTTAGACAAAAGACATAGGTAAAATATGCAGAACCCTGATTTTAATCATCAGCATTTTATTGAAGGGGAAAAATCATGCAGTCTGGGCTTCCATCTATGTGGAAACATCTAGTTGACCGATTTATTAATGTTACCACTTCAGCATATGCTATTCTGCTTTCCAAAAAGGCTTACATTGTGTAAGCTGAAACCCTACACCCACTTGCTTGGGTGTAAGCCCTACTGAACTAAATGGGATTGAATTTTCATAGAGTTGGAAGGGGCCTACAGTATAAGCGCCCCTGCTCATTGTAGGAATCCAAGTTATGGTATATCTGACAAAATAAAGATTTTGAATGAATGTATTCTCAAAGGATTTCACGGCCGGGATCTGATGGTTGTTGTGGGTTTTTCAGGCTCTTTGGCCGTGTTCTTAAGGTTTTTCTTCCTAACGTTTCACCAGTCTCTGTGGCCAGAATCTTCAGAGGACAGGAGTCAGAAATCTGTCTGTGCTCTAGTGCAGTTTGTTGGCTAGTTGAGTATTTATAGCTGTGAGATCAGCTTTTGTCCTTTTCAGGAGATTGGGTGATTATGGTGATCAGCATGTTTTTTGTTGTGGGTTTATTGTTGTGATAAGGGGAAGAGGTCGTTAGCTGGTCTTTTGTGTGCAGTGATCACCAGTCCTTGTTACTGGGTAGAGTATGTTGACCTTTTGCAGGCTGTATTTTTCAGTGCTGGGAGCCAGGCTTTGTTGAGTTTTAGACTTTCTTCTTCTTTGTTGAAGCTCTGCTGGTGTTTGTGAATTTCAATGGCTTCCCTGTGCAGTCTAACATAATGATTGCTGGTCTTGTCCAGTACTTCAGTATTTTGAAATAAAATTTCATGTCCAGCTTGTTTTAGGCATGTTCAGCTACTGCTGATTTTTCCGGTTGCTTTAATCTGCAGTGTCTCTCATGTTCTTTGATTCTGGTGTGGATGCTGCATTTTGTGGTTCCAGTATATATACCTGTCAACAACTGCAAGGTATCTGGTATACTTCTGCAGTGGTGAGGGGGTCCCTATTTTCCTTTGCTGACTGTAACATTTGTTGTATTTTTGTGGTGGGCCTGAACACTGTTTGTAGGTTGTATTTTTGAGTGAATCCTTATAGACACATATAAGCACAGGCATCAACAAAATTGCGAGAAACCTATACCAAAAAGGAAGTGGTATATCTACCAACGCTGTAGGCTGTAAAACACAATAATTTAACTATATGAAATGCTTAAAATAGTGTCCCTAGAAACAATGTTCCTATAAATGTGCTTTTTCTGTTCTATTTTATACTGCCCTTGAAGACGGCTGAAAAAGGCCAAACCAAAACACGTCGGGCTTTTATTTTGGAATAAAGTGCATACTTCAGTTTTTACATCCTGAGACTATAGTCTCGCCTTATCAGCAGAATTGTGAAACAGGTGGAAAACATGTTTGCATTGGGGCTGGAATGTTGGCATTTTTCCACAAGACATATTTTACTGCATTAAAACCTACCCAGCTCCCATCAATATAACTGATAGATTATACATACTGTACTCTACAACAATTATTTAGAGTCCTTCGCATAGTGGAACAGATTGATGTTATATAAAAAAAAGAAGACAATGACTTTCTGATGATTTCACAACTACAAAGAAAGCTAATAATAATACCTTTCATATTTTTGTTGCTGTTCCCAATTTTAACTACAACCTTTGAAGATGAAGTATCTTGCAAGCTTGTTTTCATGCCACTTATATGTGTTGCCACAATTCTTTGAGGTACGTTAATTAATACCTTAAAGGAAAAAAGAGATCACAGTGAGGATTGTAATCCTGTGCACGTGAAACCCACAAAACCATCAGGATCATATTTCTGTGCATAAGGACTGGTGATGTAATAGCTGGCAGATGGGTATTTCAGAAAAAAAAATACTGTAGCTTTGTCTCATCAGTATTTCATTTGAGCACACTGTTTCACCCAGAAATAAACAAAATTTAGCCTAAAACAATCAAGCATTTCGGCATGTTCTAGCCAAGCCAATGAGTGAAGTTTGCCACATAAGGATAAATGGATCCTTTCCCACCAAATATCTTAGGTAATATAGTTACTTTAACACAGATGATAGTTACAATCCAGAAAATGCACAGTGCCCACTAATTTTTTAAGAGCTTTTCATTTCAGTAGCTGTTTCTCAAAGTGTTTATAAATACCACATGTCCCCAAAGCACTCCAGTTGTAAGTTTTCAGCATGAAGAACATTGTAGAGATGTTTACAGATTCTAAATTGTATGGAGGGTATGCACAGACCGTACACTCCACCTAGAATAATACTGGGGCAACTAAAATTCAAAAGTATCTCACTTCTCTGTATGTCTTAAGTAGCCCACGAATCTCATAGTATATGGAGACAGTTCCAGAATCCCTTGCTATAGCTGCTCCTGTCTTTGGATCAATCTGCAGAATACTGTTTACAGAGGAACTCCATGTTCCTGACAAACCTATGGGAGGAAAAGGCAATGTGAAGATACAACCAGATTGGTGTAAATAGAATCAGATTTTGACAGCTGATTTCAGGATACTTGGTGCTTCTTTATGCAGAGATATCTAACATGGAATACATATGAATTTCGTTGTATGGGTATACTGTGTATATAATTACAATGACAATAAATTATTATATTATTATATAGGAGCAAAGAACCAATAATGCTTACTGAATGGTTTCACATAGTAGAACTGGGTGGGAATCTATGCCAGAGGGTTAAAAAAATATCCTATGTGTGGTATAGTAGATAGGGTGATGGATTAGGACTATGGAGACCAGAGTTTGTCCTTACTTAGCCATGGAAACTCACTGATGGATAAAAACTGATAAAACCACTCCTTTAATATCTAATTTATCTTGAAAATCCTATTAGGGTCGCATAACAACCTATAAAGATTGGTTCCAACTTGATGGCACACAACAACAACAACAACAACAACAACAACAGCAGCAGCAGCAGCAGCAGCAGCAGCAGCAGCAGCGACAACAACAACAACATGCCTGCTCATTTGTATTCTTATTTTTGGCAGCATGCAACATTTCCCCTGTACCTTCACCTTTCCTCCTGCACAAAGCCCACTGTCTGGTTTAGTCACAGCAACCACTTTGGCAAAAGCCACAATACATGGCTGCTCTTCAAACCTGCTGCTCCTGTTTATCCAGGAAGCTAAAAGAGGGATTATTGCTAGCCACAAATGATGATGTTCTCTTTCAGGTTGAGCCAAAGGGGATGCTGATCTCAGTCATTTATCTCTTAACAGCAGCTAACATCTTGAGCAGTTTTAGTGGATTGCACACAAGGCAGTCAGCTTTCTTAGAACAGCTTTCATACACACCAGAAAGCTAGTAACCCAATTCTTGCCTTTTTAGGTTGCACTAATAAAAATTAAAAGGGAGGGGTCCAAACAGTATTAATCTTTTTTTATTTAGGATAATTGGTATACTGCTTCTCAATCACAAAAAGGACTTGTCCAAGCTTTAGCACCTAACCACCCTGAAAGACAAACATGGTGAGACTCGAGATAAAAACAGAAGAACTAGGAACACTTTCAAAATCATAATTAACAATTTGCACCCCCAAAGGTAAGGCAGTTCCTGGTAAACCAAGGTGGTTTTCCCACAGCACTGTCACATATCTAGGAGCAAGGACGTAGCCATGGTAGGACTATTACCAGGCCATTTTAATTTGCATACTTTTTCAGTGCCTAGGTAAAAGAAAGCTGATGTTGAGTAAGCTATAAACTTCCTTATTTACCACTGACCGATGCACTTTCTTTCTGATACAGGGGGATTGTTCAGCATATTTTTGCTGCTCCCTCCACGTCTGTGTATTGCCTGGCCTTAGGCTACTGCCAGGCAGCCTGAGGAATGGCTGCACAGAGCACCTTTTAGCTCAGCAATCCAGGAGTCATAGCAAACACCACCACCAGCAACAAATAAACACTAACAAATGCTGCCAAACCTGCATGTGAACTCTATTAAAATCTACAGAACATATCTAAAAATACAGACAGTAAATGCTTTGGCTTCCAGAGAAATTTTCCTTCATCCTCATAGTTTACCTCTTCACCTACTTCGCATAAAAACTGGTCACGCTGTCTTTTCACTCACAGGTAACAAAATGCAATTATATTAAATATATTACATTAAGTATATTATTTTAAAGACCAGTGGAAATCACTCTTCACATAAAACGGCACATTGGTTTAATATAGTTAAATAAAAAGGAGCCAACTGAATCTGTTCATCTTGTTGGGAAGAATAGCTGCCAACATTTGATAGTGGCAATATAATGAATAATGTATTTGGTGGTTTAGAATACAACAGCCCAAAGTTTCCATGGCAATCTAATGTTGCTGGAGACTCATTTACTCTTATTTAATGTCAATTATTATTCCAGGATTTCTTACCTTCTTGATTTACAAGTGAGGATGAGAAGCAAATGACATCGCCTACAACAATATCTCTGAGCTCTGGGCCAATGATATTTTGTACAGGAAGAGGGACATAATCTGTGATACCGTTGTGCTCCGAGTCCCAAACCTTAAGTAAACTTAGACCTACATTCATTGTTCGGATCATGAAAGTGTTGTTGGTGACACCTTTCCCAATGTGTACAAAATCATCCCTGTAGGCAGTAATGATGAAAACAAAAATCAGTGGGAGCCGAGGGGTGAGAACAGATCCTTTATCCTTCTGAATGCAATGGCAACCGAAGGATCAAAGAGACAGCTGTTCAAAATTGTCACATGTCTAGCATGCACAGAGAGCTGCATCAACCAACAGAATCCCAATAGTCCAATCTTTTGGATAGTTCTGTAACTCCAGGGTACAGTTTAAGTAGAACTCCCAAGAACATTTCATGGAAAAAAATTATTCTGAACACTTTTAAGGGAAGTATTTGGTAAGTTGCCTTGGATCATTTTAAGGAGAAGGCGGGGTAAAAACATTTTAAAGAAACAAACAAACAAACAGATAGACAAAGGGACTTGCCAACAACACCAGTATTCCATTTTAGATCCAAACTCTTTGGTTTCCTAATTTGTTAATTCTAATTAACAGATTAATCACCTTACATCCAATTGATAGCCCCAACAAGAGTTAGGCTCATTGAATAAACAGGAGTTGCATAAACATTGATTTAACTATTCATTCCATTTAGAACTTACAATTGGTTTTTACCTTCAGTGTATTTATGTTTAAATAGCAGGGCTAACGAGAAAAACAGTTGCCAAGGCTTCAGAATCTTAACTCGGCACACACAGCATACAAAATTAAGCTGATATCCATTACCTGTTGACGGCAAACCCAAGCATAGAATTTTGTGAGTGAAAAATATCCCCAAAGTTGTCATGGAAATGGATGGTCAAAGTCAGTGTCACACCCAGTGGTAACGCCATTAAGGTTTCATGGTTGTGTGTGTGGAAAATGGGGTTCATAGATATTCTCAGGTAGGAAATAGGAGCCACCTGTATGATACATAAGAAAGCAGGCTAAAGTAGAATATGAAATCATTTTTCCTTTTGCAGAAGATGCATACAGGCAGTCACATAGATTCAAGTTCTGGTCCTGACTCCTTATTTGCATTACATGTTTGCACTTTCCCACAATACAGCCTACAGTATTGGTAGTACCAACTAAAGAAGGCTTATTAATTCAATGGGCTTTATACATATGTTGACTTGCCATTCAATATCTGTCTCAATGGGTCTACTTGTAGTCAGGATTAGCATTAGGATTCTTGCCTATTAGAAATTAATCATGCTTTTGTAAGTAATATTTTGGATCATGGCCGGCTCAACATACTGTACTTCTTAAGGAAGAGCAGAACATACCATAATACCCATGCTTTATCTTAGCATCCATGCAAGTCCCTACTCTTACCCATGAGAGTAAAACTGGAACAATAATCAATCAATCAATCAATCAATAATTCCAAGTCCTTTCTTGAGAAACAAAATCAGCTATGCGATCCTACAAATCACAGAGTTTGTGTTCCATAGACTAGGCTTTCCTTTACTCCTTTTCTTTCTTTAGCCCTGATGCTATCCCCATCTGCTCCTGAAGGTCTGGAGATTCTCAGGAACAGCGCAGGATATTGTGCGTTGGGTTGCACATGTGAATAGGGAGGCAGTTTTAGGATCTAAGCCATTATGTACCAAATTCCAACAACTCCATGATAAAATCCCACATTTCTCTTAAGAATTAAACTATGTAAGAATACCTGTGGATGAAATAATGGGGGAAAAGACTAAATAAAATGGCTACATATTTCACAAAGGGAATGGGAAAGTATCAAAAAGTATATCAAAAAACAGGGTTGGAAATAACAATGGCTTATGTATGCTGGCTGAATAGCTCAGTGGGGTAGGTATCTGACTGAGTATCTATTATTTCAATACACTTCTATATCACTTTTTCTTTAAAACATTCCAAACAAGGTTTGCAATAAAAACAAAAATATACATGTATAGATATGTATAGACTGTCTTACATAAGTTACTTTATAATCATTTGCAACCCCTTTTATCCATGATTTCCACCTAGTATATATATAACATAAATCAACTTTCAAAAGTTTTCAACACTATCTTCAGTAGAACTTCCAACACACTTCATAAAAAGAAAAGGGGAAAAAAACCCACACAACTAAACACCACTGGTGATGGTTTTCCAATATGAAAGTAAAAGGGATCCCTAAGGAGTCTTGGAACCTGAAGCAGGGGAGATAGGAAGTTTTAATTTTAATTAAATTAAAGATTTCCTGATGACATCATCCTCACTGTGCAGTGTAAAGTTATGCAACAGGATTTTAGCCACTAAAAGTCTATACAAATATATATATTTGCCTGGCACAAACAAAAACAAAAACAACACCAACCACTCCCACCCCCCAATAACATTACTCATACCAGGAAGGCTTCTCTGTGGAGGAGTTCCACAAAGTCCCTCCACTAAAAGTTTATCTGGTCACTACTCTGCCTACTTCAGTGGTCAGGAGAGTTCAGTGCCCAGGCAGGCAGGTATCGGAGCTTTTGTGGGTACCTGTGTCTGCACAATTGCACTCATTTCACACACTAGCAAGGTTATGCTCAAAATCCTGCAAGGTAGGCTTCAGCAGTATGTGGACCGAGAACTCCCAGAAGTACAAGCTGGATTCCGAAGAGGCAGAGGAACTAGAGACCAAATTGCTAACTTGCGCTGGATTATGGAGAAAGCCAGAGAGTTCCAGAAAAATATCTACTTCTGCTTCATTGACTATGCGAAAGCCTTTGACTGTGTGGACCACAGCAAACTATGGCAAGTTCTTAAAGAAATGGGAGTGCCTGACCACTTTATCTGTCTCCTGAGAAACCTATATGTGGGACAGGAAGCAACAGTCAGAACTGGTCATGGAACAACTGAGTGGTTCAAAATTGGGAAAGGAGTACAGCAAGGCTGTATATTGTCCCCCAGCTTATTTAACATATATGCAGAATACATCATGCGGAAGGCGGGACTGGAAGAAACCCAAGCCGGAATTAAGATTGCCGGAAGAAATATCAACAACCTCCGATATGCAGATGATACCACTCTGATGGCAGAAAGTGAGGAGGAATTAAAGAACCTTGTAATGAGAGTGAAAGAGGAAAGTGCAAAAAACGGTCTGAAACTCAACATCAAAAAAACTAAGATCATGGCCACTGGCCCCATCACCTCCTGGGAAATAGAAGGGGAAGATATGGAGGCAGTGTCAAATTTTATCTTCCTGGGCTCCATGATCACTGCAGATGGAGACAGCAGCCCTGAAATTAAAAGACGCCTTCGTCTTGGGAGGAAAGCGATGACAAATCTGGACAGCATCTTGAAAAGCAGAGACATCACCTTGCCAACAAAAGTCCGAATAGTCAAAGCTATGGTTTTTCCTGTCGTGATGTATGGAAGTGAGAGCTGGACCATAAAGAAAGCAGACCGCCAAAGAATGGATGCCTTTGAGTTGTGGTGCTGGAGGAGGCTCTTGAGAATCCCCTGGACTGCAAAGAGAACAAACCTATCAATTCTAAAGGAAATCAACCCTGAATGCTCACTTGAAGAACAAATCCTGAAGCTGAGGCTCCAGTACTTTGGCCATCTAATGAGAAGAAAAGACTCCCTGGAAAAGACCCTGATGTTGGGAAAATGTGAAGGCAAGAGGAGAAGGGGACGACCGAGGATGAGATGGCGGGACAGTGTCTGAGAAGAAACCAACATGACCCTGACACAACTCCGGGAGGCAGTAGAAGACAGAAGGGCCTGGCGTGCTCTGGTCCATGGGGTCACAAAGAGTGATACTTTTAAAGTCTAAAGCAGCACTCTGAAATCACGAGAGATTCTTTCAGTACTGGCAAGAGGTGTCTCACCAAACCATCTCGGCAACTGCTTTTCAAGTTTCTTAATAGTCTCCCGAGGCAGCCTCCTCATCTATCACATTAAAAAATCTTGGAAATTATTAGAGCTTGGATAACTATGGTTGGACTATTTCTCTTCTGGAGAGACCAGAGCTGTGGCATCTAGGCCGGACTGAAAGGCACTCACTAATCACTAATCTGGGAGTATTCCTGAACGATGGATCAGACCATATAAGGCCAGTGCCCTCCAGGTATTTGGGAACACAAATGGCTACTGGCTACTGCTGCTGGCAGATTATAGGAGCTATAGTTAAGAAAGTATTGAGTGCACTGCATTAACTTTACCTACTTTAAGGGGAGTACTGCCTCATTTGAAAAAGGCTGACTGTCTTCTCTGAAAATTCAATTGCCTACCTGTAGACTTTTTTTGTTGTTGTGAAAACTAAGTTTCAACAATGGACTCAATAACCATTTTTCCCCACCTTCTTTCCCTCCCTCCCCCTATTTGCCTGGTACTGGGGAAAAAAAGGTAAACCATTAATTGCAGGAGTTGGGGTGCCTTTGGTTCAGTGAGCTATGAGCCACACAGGCTTGATCCATCTGCCTCGTCCATATTTCATCCATTTTCTGACATTTTGCACCACAAGCACTATTTAAATCAGCTGCAGAGAATCTAAAAGAACATGCAGCAGTATTAATCTACAGGGAGTAAATGAATTTGCAAAGGGTTTATTATCAATCAAAGTCTGATTTATCTAGGTTAATTTATTAAAAGGGGGGTACACATTTCCTTTAGTACTGATTTGAAAATGAAATGAAGAACATATAAACGACAAACAAAAAACCTACACAACTTCCCCCTCCTTAAGAGTAGTATGGCTAATGCTCCTACAAGCCAACCTTGTTACAAAGCCCTTTTCTTCCTTAAGCCTAAAAGGGTATTGATGGAGGTTTAGGTTTTATTTCAAAATGAACATTTGCTCTAAAAAGAATGGATGGGCCTGGCCTGAAGCAAGCAGCAATTTGCAGGCTACAAAATGTGGCAAAAATATCGGTATATATAGTGTTCTTTATTACATGATATTACAAGCTAAGCCAGCAGTACAAATTGCCTTTGATTCGTGGAGATAGTAAAACATGACTTCCCAAGAATGTTCTAAAGTTGGTTTTATATTTAGCTCTGTTGAACAAGTGACAAGTCTGACATTCCTACATCAATATTCCCAAGAACATCCAGATTTTGGGCAATTTTTGGAAATGGCAGAGTGTATCTCTTGCTCTTATTTATTTATTTATTTATTTATTCACTTATTTATTTATTTATTTGTTTATTTACATGCCGCCCATCTAGACACAGTCTAGCTCTTCCCAAGCTTCAACATGATTAATTTTGTTCCTT